AACAACTCAAAGGGAGGTTTCTCCTGTGTGGCACTATTTCTTGTTATATAACCTTCAGCTATATTCATGGACTCATGTAGACACATTGTACGTGTAATTTTTCAGTAGGTTAGTGACACATCTACAATGTAACCTCTGTTAGATTTTTGGAGAATAAAAGGAAAGATAGAGGAGTAGGAGTCAAAAAACCAGGGCCAGACCTGCAACAGGCAAGGAATATATCTCCCTTTATTCAAAAAAGACACAGTGAGAGGTAGTAGAGGCTGCCATGGGATCAAACACCTACAACTAGACAAGGAAACCAGGGGTTTTTATAAGAAAGTTGTGAGACACAGCTGCACTTTATGGGGAGTTGTGTTAGTGCCCGGGTTTGGTGTCCTCGGAGTGATTGAGGGTCTTCTTAAAATTATTTCCTCAGACTTGGCAGGCATGTTATGTATGATCCTAGAGGAGACAGGTGGGCTCCACATACAGTCTCTCTCAGTCCTGGGAGTGGCCAACTGATAAGGTGTGAGCAAGGCCAAACTGCTGATCTATAGCCATTTGGTCAATTGGGAAACTTTATGCTTTTACAATTTGGATCCATTTGGCCACTCTAATAATTTTATGCCTTTATGACCTCTGCTAATGAAGCTTATGGCTTTCCTGAGGTTCACACACTCTAGCAACCTCTATACCTAAGGCCCACAGAACATAGTGAAACAAGGGGTAGAGAGAATACTAATGCATCTCTCAACTCTCATCACTGAAGTTCCCTCACGCAACAGAGGGCCATGAATACCAAAGGCCACAAATGGCCAAGGCATAGAGAATGAGTCTGCAGAATGTGGGTCCTTGGACAAGACTCCTATATGAAACTCCACCCACCCAGGGTTCAGGGACCATTGCAGAAGAGGGGGTGGAAAGATTGTAAGAGCCAGGAGGAAGTGCATGATCATCTGGAAATAGAGTCCTACAGGTTCCTGGGACCTTGCTCATATGAACCTACAGTAATTGTGACAGCTGCACAAGACCCATGCAAAAGCTTGGGAGGTTTTGAAGGGTGTGGCTATGTTGGAGGAAGCACCGGAGGCTGACTTAGAGAACTTTTAAGCCGTGCTGATCTCCAGCTGTGCTCTTGCTTCCTGTGTCTGCTTGAAGATGTGGGAGCTTAGCTTCCACTCCTCCTCCAGCCACCTCTGCTGCCATGCCTCCCTGCGGTGATGGACTCTTGCCACTTTGGAGCTGTAAGCTAAATAAGCTCTTCCTTTTATAAGTTCCCTTGGTCATGGTGTTTACATCACAGCAACAGAGAAGTAGCTAATATAACATTTTAAGATTTTATTTCCATAGAACAAGCTAGAACAGTGGTTACTCCTTAGGAATATATTTTCTGGAGATGGGAACAAGGACACTGAATGTGAGCAGTTACATGAATGACTATATTGAAAAACTGCACAGAACCGTATCCTTTAGACATGAATAAAATAAAAGAGGAACTTGCATAGAAACAAAATTGTGTACTATAAAATGAAGGATAATGACTAATCAAGTCTAGGTACTGAAGTCTTAAAATTTTACCACTTAATATTTCGGTGTCAGATTGCAGGACTAGTTTTTGATTTCCACATTCCATGCATAGTTAATTCTTACTATTGTTTCCTAAATTTCTCTAAAAATTTTCCCCAAAGGTATCTATCTACCTTGAGGATATAGCTCAGTAGTATACCTTGGGTTAGTTCCCCCGCACAGAAGAAAAAACAAAACAAAATGGAATAAACTTATCTACCCTCACTATTACTCACCATTAATAAGGAATATTAGATAAGAGTATCTTATAAACAGTGGACTACACATTACCTCTCTATCTGAAGATACATTCCATATTTGTGTATGTGTGCTTTAGATAACACAATAGTTTCTAACCATCTTCTTAGCTATTGCTTGTGGTAATTTGATGCTTTTTTTTTCTTCTTTTGAGATGAAAGCCTAACAGAAAGCTGAAAACATTCTACTTACATACCTTGAAATGGAACACACTGGATAGCCAGACTATGTAAAACTTGATTGCAATTAATATTTTTCAATGAGGATAGCTAGAGCTCAGGGTAAGAAAAGGACTCTTACATCATGAATTTAGGTTGCCAGTCTATAAACTGAATTTATAACACTGAAGTATCAGAAATCCTCTAACAATGCCCTGCCTCATCTCTCCTGTCCATTGTTTTATGAAGATTTTTATTTAGCATGTAGTGGGTTTCATTATTATGATACTTTAATTTTATTTTTTATTAATTTTCTTGTGTGCACGTATACGTGCAAGTGTGTGTGGTGTAAGCCTTCAGGAGTCCAGGTCTGTCACTGTCCACTTTGTTCCTTTGAGGCAGGGTTTCTTATTCGGCCTGTAGTGAGGCTGGCAGGTAAGAAGCACCAGCAGTCCTCCTGTCTCCATCCCCCCACAGGCAGTGACCATCTCTGTCTTTTAAACGTGTGCTGAGGATTCTATCTCAGGTCTTCGTGCTTAAACAGCAAGTGCTCTTATCCACTAAGTCATCTTTTCAGCCCCGCATTATGACATTGTTCATATATCCTTTTCCACTTTAAATTTCAAAAAAGCAGACGGAAAAATATTTTGTTGGGGTGGGGATGTGACTCAGTGATTCAGAGCACTGGTTGCTGAGGATCCGGGATCAGTTCTCAACACTCACATTGTGACTAACAACTGTCTGTAACTCCAGAAGTGCACAATTCATTATATAAAATTCATTATATATCTTGTTTAAAAACTAAACATCATGTGTGTAAGTAGCGAGAAAGGCACAATATTTTATAGAACTCTTCACATCATTTTGGTACATTTAGCACTGGCTAGACCAGAAAGGGGAAATTCTGAACCACACTGAAGCATAGAAAGCTGCTGTCTTCTCTATCTGTGCAGAAGCCCACCTTGGCCTGGTCCAGACCAATGGTAATCCTTCAAGCATTTACACCATCATATTTTGCCAATTCTGTTTGCTCAAAACATTGAGAAACAAAGTACATCTCTAGAACAATTGTCCTATCTTAAGTGCAAGTCTTTTTGAACTAAAGTCTTCTGTGTTCAACAGAAGTAACTTGGGCTTGATCCAAAAGTTGTGCAAAGGTCAGAGAACTGCAGTCCAATATGTCACTCCATTTCCTCCTGTATAGTCAGTGAGCAAAGAACAGGAGCCAGGAAAGGACAGGACCTTTACTGACTTTACAGTTGACCAACACCTAATCCTACTGCTATTGCTTAGTTACCATCGTAAACAAGCAAAAACTCCTACACTGGCATGCATCTGTCCATCTCTGAGTCCCAATTACTCCACTCTGTGAAGGTGCAGTCCGTTTCTTCTGCCCCCTCACTACTGAGTCACAAAGAAGGCACTCGCTGGCAATTCTGCTGCCTGGTGTGCTCAGACTCCTGAGCACACATCCAGGATTCTCATGCCACAGCCCATGACTTTTCTTGGAATCTCCCAGACTTCATCAGCAATGGCCTCTCATAGTTCTACACACTCAGTCCTTTCCCCCTTATGTGTAATAGCATAAAATATGAGGCTGAGTGGTGAGTTAGATGGATATTTGATTTTTGCCCGAGCTGCATACCACACAAATGTCAAAATATAAAGTTGAGCTCTCATATAAGGGTTAGGGGTATAGAGAGTTGAACTCAAATATTTGGTTGAGAAAGTAAACAAATAAAAGTGAGCGATTTTTCACTATTTTCTCTCCTAGGTAATGTCACTGAACAAGTTTTACTTTCACACTACTTCTAAAGCCTCTATTGGAGTCTTGATAGCTGTTCCTGTCAATCCTTAAAACCACTGAAGATGCCACTTTTGTAGAATATATTCTAGAGGGATAGATTCCCTTCTCACTATTCCCTTCCCACTATTGGCAGATAGCTTGGCTAATAATTTCTTTAGATTGCCTTGTGTTTCAAAAAGTTCTGTAGGTAACTCCAAGAGTGATACAGGATCACCCATATATTAAAACCCTTAGGCAAAGAAAGCAGGAGGAAAGCTAATTTAGGGCTAAAAAAGGTGTGTGTGTGTGTGTGTGTGTGTGTGTGTGTGTGTGTGTGTGTATGCTGTCCTGAGGGATAGTTCATGCCTAAAATAGCTGTTTAAATTTTTCTATCGATTTTAAAGTGGCTCCCAAAGTTGCTTCTGAGCTTTGTAGCAGCTAGCACAAAAAAGAACAGAATTTCATGATCAGATCCACATATGTTTATCAATTGTTGTTAGCTTTTCTGAAAGGAGGTCTTTATTCGGAAACACTGTGTCTTTAGTCCCTTGCCTGGCATTGTTGCTTTCTTTGAGAGTGAGTCAGATATAAACTTATGATTCTCATCGGGATCATAAGACTGCCATAATTACAAAGACTTCATCTAGTATGTAAACTGTTTCTGTCTTTCACAGATAGATCTCATTTGATGCTAATATTCAAGAAGTTATCAGGGAATTTTGTTTTCAAAACTGTAGATTCCTTAGAGTAGTTAATGGAAGGTGCCTTTGATTATGTAAACTTAAAAATTTTTCTTTTCTGTTCTTTCTGAAGATGCTGCTTTGCTTTGGGGAATAGTAATAAAATTCCCCCAATTTTCTTTTTTTTTTTTTGGACTTGAAAAATTTTTTTTTGAGACAGCATCTCCCTGTAGCCCCTCCTGGCCTGGAACTTACTATGTAGACCAGGCTGGCATTGAACTCACAGAGACCTTCCTGCCTCTGCTTCCCAAGTGCTGTGACTAAAGGCATGCACCACCACGCCAGGCTGGTTTCCCCTTATTTTCAATTGCATCTTTAATAAAATGCTATGACTCAGTTTCCAATTAATATAAAGCAGACAACTGTCACAACAACAAATAATTCAGACATTCTAGACTCAATGTTTTTTTTTGAGTATATTTCAGCTTTCTAACTGCAGTTAGAGTAGATTTCTGCCTATTCAGTAAAGTTGTTTTAGATACTACTAATAATACAAGACTTTGTACTTACCCAGATTGCCTTTCAAACTTTCAAACTTTCAAATGTAAAGAAAGGAAAAACTGTCCATTTTGGTGCAGAAAACATCTGATATCTGTGTTTTCTTTCTACGATGTTAGAGAAAAATATCTTCTTCATTCGTTTTGACGAAGGCTTACATCTTCTGTGGTTCTACCTCAGTACCAGCTCAAACTGGCTAAGAAACTACAGGGCGTGTCTGCTATTGGCAGGGTGGTGGGAAGAAGTGGGCGGCTTGGTTTCAGTTTCAATTCTCAAAGAGACTACAGTTTTTCCTGAGATGCTTTTCGTTTAAAGTCCCAACGATGCCACCTTCTGGTATGCTTGATTAAAATGTATTTAACATCTGTGATCCAAGGGCTGGTTGTCTTGCCTAAAGACCAACTGTGGGATATTCTACTTCGCGGATTCCCTGGGAACGCCGGTTTTCTTTCCTTTGTTGTATCAGGATTTCCTTTACTGTATTGGTATTGTTTTAGCCTATTTTCTGTTGCTATAACAGAGTACCACATTCTAAGTGATTCATAAAGAAAATAAAATTAATTTTTACAGATTTCAAAGGCTGTTGTCCAAGGAGCTGTACCTAGAAGAACCTTCTTTCTGGTGGGGAAATCTCTGCTGAGTCCTAAGGTGGATGGGGCCATACAGGATGAGCTACAGCAGTTTGTTTCCTTGGGTCTCTCTTCCTTTGCTCATGAGGCCTCTAAGGAAATCATAAGGACTATGTTCTCTTGGTTGCATATAATCCTAATTACCTCCAAAAGACTCCACTTCAAAATACCATTAACATAAAGACTCAGGGATCTAGTTTCAACACAAGTTTTGAAAGGTACAAACCCACAGATCAAATTGTGTGTCAATTACACCTCAATAAAGACATGTTTGTAGCAAGGCAAATGCTTCTTTGCTTTTATCATTAATGTTTGCAAATCTTTATTCTAAATAACTTTTCCTAAGAACATTACTACAACAGTTTGTAATATATATATATATATATACACACACACATATTTATGTATATATGCATGTGTGTGTATAGGATTGAAAGTCGTTAAATGATAATTTTGATATCTTCCATTGCCTAAAAATATCACTTGAAGAATTCAAGAGCCTTAACAATAAAGAAATATTTTTTATCTCTGAGAAAGGAAAACACAGACCCTGTACTGGCCAACTCATGGCTAGCCTGTAATATTGTTTTCCTTTAAGACTAATATAGGATTAGTAGAGATAGGGAGGTATCCCATATCTTGCACTAGGATTTTCCTTTAATAACCTATGGCTTCTGGGAACAGCATTATCTGCCCTTGCAGAGCATGTCCGTTCAAACTCTGTTTTTTCCAATTAGACTCTTTAGTTAGCTTATAAAATGGCAGGTTTTCATATGCCTTTTGCATACACCATTGGTTTTGGATAACCCTTCCCTTTGCTCCCTTTTTCCTCCACCCCTATTTACCCCATCACCACTCCCACCCCAGCTTTATTCAAACCCTTCCACTCTAGCATCCCTCCCTGTATTTCCATATCACATGTGTTTTTCTACCTCCCCCCCCCCCAAGACCTCCCTCCCTCCATGGTATCTTTCTTGCTTTCTGGCCTCCAACTTAAACACAGAAATCTAAAAATTCAAAGCTAGACTACCCATATGAGAAAGAATATATGGTATTTGCCTTTTGGGGCCTGAGTTACCTCACTCAGTGTAATATTTTCCAGTTCCACCCATTTTTCTGCAAAATTCTTTCTCTTTTCTTTTGTAGTTTTAGACTGTATATTGATTATATGCCTTACCTTAGAGATTCTAATTCTCCCTTAATTTCTTTTCATCTTTTTTTCTACATCTTGTTGTGTATTTTCTTTTTTTAAGCTTAAGAGAAATGTCATTGACTCAAGAATTTCCTACAATGGGTTTTGACTATATTCAGACCTCCTCTTCTATCTCTACCTTCCCTTACAAACCATCCCCCTCCCACTTCATGTCTTCTATTTGCAAATGAAAAACCCCATCCATCTTACATAATGCCTCTGAACTGGGCACCTGAGAAATCTCATTAGAGTGTCAGTGATCTATAATTCTTTTTAAAAAAAATTTGTTATTTTTATTTAATGTGTATGAGTGTATTGTCTGCATGTGTATAAGTGCAACTGTGTTGTGCAATGCCTGCAGAGGTCAGATGAGGATGTCAGATCCCCTGGACCTGGAGTTATAGATGGTTGTTAGCTGCCATGTGGGTACTGGGAATTGAACCTGGGTCCTCTGCAAGAGTGCTCTTAACTGCTGAACCATCTGTCCAGCCATATGATCTATAAATCTTTCACTTAGGTGTGCCAAAGTAAGGACCTACTCCTTTTCCCTTGAATGTGGTTTTGGGTCAGACTATGTCCAGGTTTCTTAGAATGGGATTTTCACTCTTAATTTCTCTTACACACTTCTTAGAAATGTCAAGTGGGATTTCTCTTTTTCTCAGTGGTTGGAAATGCTTGATCTTCTTTATCAAAGTGTGTTGTTTGTAGTCCTTGTATGCATGTTACAGTTCCGCTGTCTCCTGTCCTCACTTAGCAGAATGACCCCACTGTGGAGGAAGGTGTTTTCTAATAGGCTGACTCCCCACAGTGTTTTAGTGTGGGTAAAAACAGAAGCTAGATCCTCACAAAAGGCAGTTAACTCACAGGCCTCCAATCCAATCTCTGAGTGGCTGTTGGGAGGGTTTACAGCTTCACATGATACTTTACACCAGTGCCATCTAGTTTATTTTCTGAAATCTGTAGCCTTCTCAGATTCTTAACATTGTTGAGGACTGCAGCCAGGTCTTGACAGTCACTGAGTGATGATGATGGTTGATCAATCATAGAGGTGCCAATGGGGCAGCCCAGCTTGGCTCTGCAAGGCCAGTGCAGCTCTGCTGGTATGTGTCAACGGCCAGGCTGGTGAGGCTCAGCCAGTGCGGATGTGTGGTCAGACTAGTTCAGTTCTGCCTCACTGGTGCCCATGGTATGTCAGGATTCATTGGTGCATGTGGGCAGCTATGTTGGCTCTGCCCTGCCTGTGTGCTGTGGCTTCAACATCTTGGCTCCTCGGTTATTATCCATCTTAGTTGCCAGGTTCTGAGTTCAGAATTTTGAAAACAATGTAATCAATATGAAAGCATCAAGATTCTTTTTTTTTTAACAGATCATAGGGTAGTTTTTTATTTACAGAAGAGTGGGTGCCCCACATTTACGGCTGTGCTGTAAAGTCCACACTCAAATATAAATCCTGTGACCGTCCGACAGCTGCACAAAATTATGAGAAGTGCCTCTTGGTGTTCTCAGCTTATATATCCTTTGCCCCTCCCCCCTACATGCAGCTAAGGTTGACTGATTGGGTAGGAGGGGTAACTGACTCCCCTCTTGACTCCTTGAAGAGAACAGGAAGGAGGTGTGACTATAGCTTGCTGGCATATTGGTTGAAGGACATTTCCAGTTAACACTCCACCTTTTCCTCAGGCTCTTACATTCTTTCCACCAACCTCTTCTGCAAAAGTCTCTGAGCCTTGGAAGGTGTGGTAGGTGTGGGATGATCTTCCTCCCAATGTGGCAAGGCACTGAACTTCTGGGTCTCTGCATCATCTGTTTTCTATGGGCTATTGGTCAGTTTGAGTGGGATTCCATCTACTATAAAAACACACACAGCAAGAAGCAAGAACATCTAAACAGTGACTGCTATAATAATCTACAGGTGTAAACACAAATGCTTGGTAGGTACTATAGCAGGTGCATCATTTCCATCTAACAAAGCTATTGCAGTGACTTCCCACTGGAACCTATATTCTCCCCTGCCACAGGACGTTGGCTGGGTCTACAGTACCAGATGTGTGTTCCACCCCTAGGAGCGGCCATTATATCCAATTGAAAATTTGCTGGTTGTACATACACTAGATGTTCCACTATTGCACCAGAAGGAACATCTTGTTTGGTATATTGATAGTGCAACACATGGGGTCTGTCATTGAGGAGAATTACAGGGGACTATTCTCTCCCAGTTATCTGCATATTGGCTTTATGGCACCATGAAACCCACCCATCCAGTGGCAGGGAATTTCTAGCTTAGTCCAAGCTTGATTTCTCCCTCTCCCATGCTCATATCATGCAGTGTCTTCAGCAATAGAGTTTTTCTGCCCACTTCCAGTGTATAACCAACATTATTGGCAATGGCATTTATTGTTTTGGCCGTTATTGTCTAGTGTCCCTCAGGCCAACAGCTCATAGAGGGCAACCCAACTCTGGCACTGGTTTCATTTAACAACTGTATTGCTTTTGGAAGGGCTTTCTTCCATCCCTGTAGGGTTCTTGCTGTGCTTAAGGCTTTTTTTTTTAAACTGTGTATCTGGAGAATTTCCCCCCTTTTTTCCCATAGTTCTTTGTATAGCCCTTCTTGAAGAAGTCTGGAGTCTTTTTTCTAAGTCCTTGTGCCAAGAGTTGCCAACAGTGCCATTACTCTGGCTGTGCTGCTATTTAGGATCTCCAATTATTTTCTTTCTTATTTGCTACATTCTGGGATCAGAATTTTGAGATCGATATTGAAGTGCTTATGATCAGGTAAATATTTGTCTCATTGATAAGGTTCCTCACATGCTTCATGGATGCATTCAGTCTCTTGGGAGATGGTGGGCCCCAGGCCCTGATGCTGGCTGTGCATGCACATTCTACCATGATCTTTTTTATCTCTCATGTCTTCCAGAAAATTTTATAATTTCAGTTTTCTTTACATCAGAATAGAATTCTGTTGTGTATAACACATTATCCATTCATTTGTTGATGGCCATCTAGGCTGGCTTCATTTCCTAGCTATTGTGACTAGAGCAGCAGTGAATGTGGCTGAGCAAGTGTGTCATAGTGGGATATTGAGTCCTTTGGGTATATGCCCAGGAGTGACATAGCTGGGTCATATGGTAGTTCTATTTTTAACTTTTTGAGAAACCACTACATTGATATCCTCAGTGACTGCACCAGTTTATCCTCCCACCAACAATGAATAAGGGTTCCCTGTTCCCCATATCATTGCCACCATTTATTGTTTTCTTTTTTGGTCTTTTTGAAACAAGGTTTCCCTGTATCCCAAGCTGACCTGGAACTCTCTCTATGTAGACCAGGCTGGCCTTAAACTCATGGAGATCTACCTGCCTCTGCCTCCTGAGTGCTGGGACTAAGGGTGTGCACCAC